CTGGGCAGCTACTCCCCCGTGCGGAGCCACGTCCCTTTTTTCCAAGGCCGGGACCCTTCCTCCTCCTCCGGCTCCCCGACCCCCGAGAGCCACCCGCCCCGGAGCAGGTCCTGCCCAGTCTCAGCCAACCTCCTGCCCGCCACCAGGCCCTCTCCGGCCACGGGGAGCCATGCTTCCAATGTCGGCACTCGCGTGGACGCCCTGCACAAAAAGGAGAGCCCCCCGCCGGTCTCCGGGAAAGAAGGGCCGCAGGAACTGAAGTACGAGCATCCGGTCGGTTCCCTGGCCCCCGTGTTGTCGTGCGGACGGAGCTTGGCCAGAGCCGGGGGCCACCCGGAGCCCCAGTGGAAGGGCAGCTGCAGCGAGGCCATCGGCGGGGGACCCCTGAGCGCCATGCTCTCCCGGCCACTCAACGGTAGGTAGCTGGGGTGGAGCGGGGGGGGGGAACAGGGGGCTGGGGCTGCCCCGGGGCTTTCTGCCCCCCCGCCACCGATCTCCCCCAGCAGCCGCGATGGCAGGGAGCTTCTGGGGGGGGGGTCCCACAAGGTCCCAGCAGGACCTTTCCGGCAGCCTTGAGGGCTTGTCTTCAGCCTTGAAAGAAGAGGAGCCAGAAGCAAACCCCTCTCGCTTGGCTGTTCTGCCCTGGGGGGGCGGGGTGGGGTGGGGACAAAAGGGCTGGGCTTCCTCGTGGGCAGGGGCCAGGTTGGGACCAACTTTTCATCAGCCCCCCCTCTTTCTGCTCTCCTTTTGGAGCAACTCCAGGACTGTTTCCAACAGGCACCGCACACACACACACACACACCCCCGCCAGCCTAGACAGCTTTTTTTCCTGGCCCACCACTTGCTGTAGGTCAGGAGGGGGCGCTCTCCTCCTCCTCCTCCTCCTCCTCGTGGGCATGGCCAACGCCTCTTTGGGCCACCTCCTCCCATCAGGTAACAAGGGCAGGCGGCCTCCAGGGATGGCCCATGTGGAGACGTCCCTACACGTGAGTTGCGCCTGACGTGTCCTTGAAGGATGGGGGGGCTCCTTCATCCCTGGGGGGCCTGGCAGGCACCTCACCTCTCTCTGGTGCATCAATGGAGTAGAAGCTCTCCCTTCCTCTCTCTCTCTCTCTCCTTGGCTTCAGGTGGTCCGTTTCCTATCACGTCAGAACTGGCTACCTAAGCCTGTGAGGGCAGCCACAGCTGAAGGCCCTCCGAGGCCTCACCCTGTCCCAAAGCCTGGGATATGGCTTTTTATCATCATAGAATCACCATAAGTTGGAAGGGGAACCCCTAAGGCCATCCAGTCCAACCCTCTCCTCAAGTTAGGAGGCTGCACATGTTAGGGATCAGTGCCTTAGCTGGACAGCCTCTCCTGCAGTGCTCTCTTGCACGCTCTCTCTCTCTCTCTGCCCACCCCCGGCCCCCCAGGTGTGCCTGTGTCTAGGGGCTGTTTCCAACCTGCTTCCTGCGTTTGTGGCCTCTGGGGAAGGGTGGAGGCTGTGGGATTGCCACTAACAAGCTGCCTCTGTCACGCGCTCTCTCTCTCCATCTCTCTCCTCCTGTCCCCCCCCCCTCTCGCTGCCTGCCTGCCTGCCTGCCTTTCCTCGGGGACCCGGCCAGCCAACCACCTCTCTCCGCAAGCGCTCAAGTGGCGGGAGTACCGGCGAAGGAACCCCCTGGGACTGGATCGTGTCTCAGGGCTGACGGGCAGCCTGGACCAGAAGCAGCAGGAGGGGCGGCTCCCCCCCTGGAGGAACCCCATCTTTGAGTTCCCGGGTGCCTTGAACATGGGGCGCTCCAGCTGCAGGCTCAATGGTGCGCAGCCTCCCCCTCTCCTTCCCCCCCTTTCTGCTGCCAGTCTGGCCTTGCATGGTCTGTCCGTCCCCCGTCCCCCAATCCCCATGCTCAGGCCCAGGAAAGGGCTTTCCTGGAGGACTCTAGAGGGAGGGACCCACAACCCCCCCCCGTGGGCCTCTTTGATGGATGGAAAAGGTCCCGGTCAGCGCTGACCAGGTCCAGCTCTTGGCTCCAGCACGAGGCACCTCCTGCCTGCAGCCTCCGCAGCCCATGGCTGGACAGATGCTCTCCCAGTGGGGTGTGCAAGCGGAGGGTTGCACCTGCCGGCCCGTGTCCCGCACAACAGAGGCCCCTGGAAACCTCTGGATCTGAAGCAATTGATCTTAGGAGCAGGGCCGGGGGTCGGCTAGCCTGGTCTGGGCCGGTCTGGGCGGGGGCTCTGGCCGCCACTGGCAGCCCTCGCTTTCCAGGGCAGGACGGCGTCCGGCCGGCCCCTGGTGCCCCCTGGCTGCTGTGAGTTGTGTTGAGCGTTGTGGGAACTTGCTGGAACCGCAGGCAAAGGGCCCCGCAGGCGGCCACCCGTCTCAGGTCAGAAGGAGCTCCCGAAGGAGTCCACGACTCTGCCATTTATTCCACCCTCTCCGAAGTGAGCACTTTATGAAATAAGACTCGAGGTGAGGGTTATAAGTCCTGAAGTATGAAAAGTAAAAAATGTCTTTTACTCATGGAGATTCCAGGGGTCCAGCAGACAAGCTTCAAGCCAAAGGGGAGAGAAGGGCTGGCCCGCTTCTCTCTCTCTCTCTCTCTCTCGGCTGTAGCGCTGGTCGGTCCCGCCGTCTCTCTTGTGGCCCCGTGAGGCTGTCGTCCCGAAGCTCTGCTCGGATGCCGTAGCGCCGGTCGGTCCCGCCGTCTCTCTTGCGGCCCCGGGAGGCTGTCGTCCCGAAGCTCTGCTCGGATGCTCTCGCGCAGGGTGGCAGGGTCCTTTCGCCCTGGTGTAGCTCCTTCCTGGGGATCTGGCATCCCCAGGCCACCTTTTGCAAGGCGCGGGGCGGGAGGGAGCATGCCCTTGGCCCTTAGGCGCCGGCCGGGCCTCTCCTCCTTCCACCCGCTCGCTCGCCCGCCCTCCACCCCTTCCCCGTCCTCAGGGGCCTTCGGAGGAGCAGGAAGGGCTTGGCTCGGTCCGGTCTCCTCGGAGGAAGGGAAGGCAGCCAGGAGGCACCTGTGTCTCTGACCCACCTCCCTTTTTTTGCCCCGATGGGGTGAATGCAGGACACTCGGTGAGACCACCGCCCCTCAACTACTTTGACTTCTTCCCGGACTATTTCTCCTTGGCTGAAAAGCCCCCGGCCGAATTCTGCCTCTCCCCGGATGGCAACACGGAGTCCATCTCGGTTGATCTGGCGCAAAAGAAAGGTGAGCTCCTGTGGCCGCCGCTTGGCCCCTGCGTGCACGGGGGAGCCCGGAGGCGGCCTCAGTCCTGGGACGGCCGGTCTCTCGGGTCCCCCGGCGACGGTCTTCTCTTGGCCCATTCCGTGCCGCCTGTGGGGGCCGTGGTGCTTGGCGAGACGCATGGAGTCCGAAAGCATGGCCTTTTGACCCTCAGGGCCCTTTTGCCTGGGAAGCGGATGGTGGCCCAACCAGGGACCTTTGGGGCATGGAAGGGGGGTGTCCTCTTAAGGGCCGGGGGTGGTGGTACGTGAGAAGAAAGTGACCGGAAGAGAGGGGGTGGCAGGGAGGTGCCCCAGAGCAAGGCTCCCATAAGCAAAGGTCCCGAGGAGGGAAGAGGCAGAAGGAACGCATGCGCACGCAGGCTCTCCAAAGGGTCTGCAGAGAGGCTGGTGGGGGGACGGCCCTCCCTCCGCAGCGCCTGCCAGGAGGGAGGCCTGGCGCGCTCTGGAGGGGGAAGGCGCCTCTCCCGGAGGCTGGCGGGGGTCCTCTGGCTCCAGGGAGGCCTTCCTTCGGGTTTTCAGTGGCAGGACGCTGGGATCCGATCCTGGCATCCTTGCCTTGCGTTTGGGGCGGGACTCTGGCACTGTGGGCACCAGGCCCTTTGAGCTCTCCCCACCCGCCGCTGCCCGTGCTATTCTCTGAGGCCTGGAGGGTGAGGGGAGGGCAGGGCAGGGGAATCTTAGCTTCCCCCCACCAGCTTCCTGCCCCCTCCCCTCCCTTCCTTGGGGGATTCTTGTCTTGGAACCCTCGCCTGATGCCCCTCTCGGAGCAGTGGCAGGGCTGTTCACCGCCTGGGTTAGACAGTGGAACGAAAAAGTGGTTGGGGGAGGCAGAGACATGCCCAAAATCTTGACAGGGGGGGGGGGGCTGTGATCTGGCAGTCTCCTGACCCCCTCTTTGGCCGACTCTGTGTCTTCCTGAACCCTTGGAAGAGCTTTTGTGGGGAGGGAGCCCTTTTGGGTCAAGCCTGGGGGTCTTTGGGGGGTGGTCTTGGCCACGTGTGTCTCTCGGGCAGTGCCAGGGGGCCTTGGCTGCCCAGCCGAGCCTGGACGGTCATCCCCACTTCTTCTCTTCTCTTTCTGCCCACCAGGTCTTGTCAAGGCGGTCAACATGGCTGTGGATTTAATCGTGGCACATTTTGGGACCAGCCGAGATCCTAGGGTGAAGGTGAGCCTGGTGGCCCCCTTACGACCTGCCTTTCCTTCTGCCTCCAGCAAGTCAGGGGGGAGGTGCCGCCTGCCCGCCCGCCCGCCTGTCCGTCCGTCCGTCCGTCCGTCTGTCTGCAGAGCATCAGGCCCTTTCCCGGAGGAACCCTGGGGGGCCGTCTTGCCGACTGCCGTCGGGTCTTGCCATTCGGGGCCTCAGGTCTGAAGGGTCTTTGCAGGGCAGGTGGAGGAGGGACACGAGAACCTTGTGGGGATTTGGTGAATCCCTGGTGTGTCCCCAGTGATTTTTTTGGGGGGCGGAAGACTCCCGTCCCTGGAGGAAAAGCCTCTCTTGCATCTGCCCCTGAACAGAGAGTAGACCTTCCTGGAAAGTGGGGTGGGGGTGGGGGCATCAGAGTGGGATGTCTTCTTGCTAACCCACCCCCCCGCACTGCCACTGCAAGGCCATCGTGAGAGCAGAGCTTTGGAGGGGGGGGTTGGGGGGGGAAGGACATCACAGGCTGTAGTTTGGAGCTCCGAGGAGGACGGCTGGGGAGTGGAAAGCCTCTTTGGGCAAAGCTGGCTTTCCCACGGATGGACGGATGGACGGCCGGCCGGCCTGTTCTCTCTGTCCTGTTCCTGGAAGGTCCCAAAGGAGCAGCCGCGCGAGCGCCCCTTTTCCTCGGACTCTGGCTGCTCTCCGTTCCAGCCAGAGGTTTGCCTCGTCATGTTTATTTATAGCAATCCCAAGGAAGATTTACAGGCTGGACGCAGATTGCCAGCTTGAGAGGCCCTTAACCCTTTGGAGCCGAAGGCTTCCTGCTGACCTCGGCTCTGGCCTGGCGCTGCTTTGGCCGACTTCAAAGCAGATTATTCAGCACTATTTTAAAAACCGGATGCCCCTCCTTACGTTGGAGAAAAACACCGCCACACTCTGAGTGCATCGGGTCAGGGCAGCGTAGGTTTGCAGGGGTTCCACCCAGCTGACAACAAATCAGTGAAAAGCTGGATGTGGTTCAGGGCTGGAAGAGGCGCGTTCAAATCCTACCCATTCCCACCCTCATCTTGTGTGGCCTTGGCTGAGTCCCTTCTCAGCCTCTGTGGCTCCTCTGTAAAGTACCAGGGCCCTGCTTCGCGGCAGCAGAAGACAGAAATCAAAGGAGGAGGAGGAGGAGCTTTCTGCCAAAAGGCTGTGGACTCCAGACGTGGCCTCGTTCCCAGGCAGACCTATTTCTCCGTCTGGCCGGGGACTGTCTCCTCTCCTCGTGCTGGTGCTGCAGCATCACCTGCTACCTCATCCCTTTACCTGGAGATGCCAGGGATCAAACCCAAAGCCATGTCAGGGAAACCCACTCAGGGTCGCCACTGGTATTGGTGAGGGGGGGGGAATCAAAATATTTTTGGGAAGGAAGTGCAAAATGGAGTTGCCACGATCTCAGTGACTGCTCCTTTCCTGTGGAGCTTTTCTGCTGCCATTGCCCCCACATTTACAAAGTTATTGTTATTGGTGGTGTTTTGACTTATATACTGCCCCATAGCACTTAAAGCACTCTCTGAGGGGCTTACAACGTGATTATGCAGACTATATGTTCCCCTCCCCCACAAGCTAGGTGGGTACTCAATTCACCAAACTTGGAAAGAGGAAAGATTGCGTCAACCTCGAGCCAGCGACCTGAGCCTGTTGGGATTGAACTTAGATTCTGAGTGGAGGCTTGACTGCAGTAGTGCAGTTTAACTGCCTCTGGACTTGGCAGTGATTGTGTCACCTCCTTTCCCCTCTGGGTGTGAGCATTTGCGGTTCTGCAGGTAGGGTGTAAGTTTTGCCAGTGTGTCTCTGATTTCACTTGGTGAGACTTCCAGCAGCTGAAGGACAACAGTTCAGGTGTGGAGAAGGAGGGGGGAAACGCTCTTCTTCAGATGATGTCGCAGTCCCCCCCCCATCAAGCCTCCCTCTCTATAGCCACTCAGCTACACTACCCTTGCTCACCCTGGGGTGGGAGAGGCCAGGCAGGAGTCCGATAGGGTGAAGGCTGTGGATCTGGACTGGAAGGGTCTCACTCCCAACAAACGACTCTCTGGTCTCTCAGACTTACAGGTGCTCTAAGAAGTCTTCACACAAAAGGAATCCTCAAGGCTCGGTGCTTAGAACCCGCACACCAACCTTGCTAGGTTGCTGCCACCACTCCCATCACGAATGCTAAAAAGCCCCGGTAGCTGGTTGAGGCAAGGACTGGTTTTAGTAGCTCAACTTGGAAGGATTTCTGTAGTTTATTAAAAAGAAAAGGGAAAAACAATTCAAAAACACAAAAGAGTAAATGTTCCAATGGTTCCAAGAACTACTGGAGAGCTCGGTGGTTTAGGCATGGAGAGCCAGAGGTTGGGAGTTGGATTCCCCTCCTCTGTGCCTGCTTGACAGGGCTGGGCTCTGTGATCCCAAGGGCCCCTTCCAGCTGTGCAGCCCTAAGAGAAGATTATAAAAGACTTTTCAACATGCAGGAGCAAAGGCAGAGACAGATTTAATAGCATTCAAGAAGAAAACACATGGCTGATTAAATAAGAAAACTCATTGGTTTGAGAGAGGCATATTTACATATAAAGTAGCATGAGTAATTTACTGTAAGCAATTCAGAAAATGCCTTAAAGAGATTCTATATATAGCATTTTAAAACTGGCAAAAAAGGGGCAAGAGACGAATCTTGGACTTATGATACTAGAGCTGTTAAGCAAAAATGAAAAAGGAGAAAACTACTTGCTGATTAAATAATAAAAATCATCGGTTTGAGAGATATATATTTACATTCAAAGCAATATGAGTAATATACCATAAGCAACATGGCCAGGTAGGAATCTCAAGGGTAGACAAGCATATGTAATTATTGATTTTAGAAATGTTGATGATGAATAATAACATTAGATGCTTTTGTTTTTAAGGCACAGATATAGAGATCAAATATGTGGGAATTTACCATAGTGTTTTTATAGATAAGATTAGATATATAATATCTTTTTGTCTGCAAAAATGGAGATTTTTGAGGAATGTATTGTCCTGGCTTGGATCGTATTGGTGGATAAGCAATCTTAAAGATAGAATTAGGAATGGTTATGATGAGTATCGAATAGATGGTAATGCAGGTGAAAGAATTTATAAAATTTATTACAAATTCAGAATGATAGATACTACTTTAGATATTTTGAAATGTGTGTGTTTAGTCGTTTAGTCGTGTCCGACTCTTCGTGACCCCATGGACCAGAGCACGCCAGGCCCTCCTGTCTTCTACTGCCTCCCGGAGTTGTGTCAGGTTCATGTCGGTTGCTTCGCAGACACTGTCCAGCCATCTCATCCTCGGTCGTCCCCTTCTCCTCTTGCCATCACACTTTCCCAACATCAGGGTCTTTTCCAGGGAGTCTTTTCTTCTCATTAGATAGGGAAAGTTACAGAAACTTGAATTCAGACTTCCAAAGAATAGCAAGGAGAGACAAGAGGGCCTTCTTAAATGAACAATGCAAAGAAATAGAGGAAGATAACAGAAAAGGAAAGACCAGAGATCTGTTCAGGAAAATTGGACATATTAGAGGAACATTTTGCGCAAAGATGAACATGATAAAAGACAAAAATGGGA